CTTCTCCATTTCTTTTAACATGAATCATAGTCGAATATACCACACATATAATGCCCAGAAAGTAGCACAAATAGGTGCTGCCACAAAGACACTGTTAGATTGTTGGAAAGTCACTTATCATATATTGAAGAATCCTACAGAATTCCTGATCTCTAACTATATGTGCAAAATACAGAATTAGAGCAAGAAGTAAGTTACTGGAGGGAGTTGCATTCTTTGATCTCTTTTCTCTTATTCTTAACGTCAGCATCCTCATTTGAAAAGGAGTGTAAAAGCACAAGTCAGTGTTGTGCTCACAGATCAGGAAAAGCCCTCAACGGGTTCATGTAGGCTGTCCCTGCTCACACCTGGCTAGTTTGGAGGTGTTATTGTATGTATTTCTGTGTCAAAATTGGTGTAATATCTGGAACATCAGCTTTTATTTCATGTCCAAGTGAGGTGTCATCATTTAATTCAAGGATGAGATGTACAAGCATAGCTGCTCTGAAGCAATTTGAAAGAAGTTTCACAAATGATGGGCAGAATAGCGTTTTATTATTGAAAATTCTGCCTTCACTAGTTACTACTGTAACCATTGTTCTCTTGCAGTCTGAGGGCACTAAATAACTACAGTGATCACTGTTAATAGTTTGGGATATTTGTTGACCTGTTTATGGTAACTATGCCTCTTCTCTTAACTATTCTTTTTTCAAAATACCTCTTCTAGCCATGCAAAGTGCTAACTGAGAAAACTTTTTTCTTTATTCCTTCCTTTGAAGACAAAGACAGGGATTTGTTTGCTGCAGGATGGTAACCAGGAGCCTTTCAAAGTGCAACTGCACTTAGCCAAAGATATTTTGATGATCCAGGAGCAGGATGTGATCTGTGTGTCTGGTGAGCCTTTCTATTCTGGTGTAAGTAGTTTTTATTTTTTCTTTAACGTGTACTTTATACAAAGCAAAAATATTTTCTGTGTGCGTGCCTGTGAGCATATGTATACACATATGTGTGCACTTGCTTCTACAGTTTGGTATTTAATTTTATATCGTTAACACTAAATGTATTTTGCTATATCATCTTTTGAGAGTAAATCTTAACAATACTCATTGAAGAAGCAAGAATAAGATAATAAGCAATATGCATGACTGCAGTATTGTTTCTCTGGACTCACCTTGTAATATTGGAGCCACTGAGTGCGATAGGAATGACGCAGGCAGTGATTTTTGCAGTGAATGCAGATAACTCAATGTACTTACATATCTGAGTATTGTCTATGGAGCTGAGAAGACAATTGATGACCACTGTTATGGCAAGGCTTTGCTAGGAGAGGAATTATCTGCTGTCCTCTGTTGCTTTGATTGCTTCATACGGTGGTACAACACCAGATTTTGTGCATGCTGCCAGTCCATGCTGCAAGGGTCAATAGTTTTACCAGCACATCATGTTAACAAAGATGGACTGCAGCTGAAACAGTGTAATGGTGTGATTTATGTATTACTGTTTTTACATGATGTGTCAGATTTGTTATTTAAGCATCATATTGAATTTTGTGGATAAGCTACTGAGCTTTGTAGACAACTATTTGGAAGACCTGTAAAATGTTATATAGAATAATGCTGTAGGTTTTGGAACTATTGTAATGCTAATTTTTTTATTTATTTCTAGAAGATGGCTAAAATAATAAAAACTATTTACTATTCATTTCTATAGAGATTTTTATAGATTCTGTAATCATATTTTGTAGAGATATTTTTAAGATTTTTGTTTGCATGACAAATCTGACATTATATTTTCACAGTTTCATGCTGTACAAATACAATTTGCTAATATAGGTCTATGTGCTTTGGATGGAATATAGGCGCTCCTTTTACCCGTCAGACTGTACTGTTCCTCAATATACAGGACATCTGGCAGCCCAGATAGAAGGAAATTATGACTTCAACCTCAGGCTATAGTTGTTCAATTAGCAACACACACCGTGGCACCATTAGTCCACCACCCCATTCTGGCATTAAGAGGTTGCAAAAATGCAACCTTCATTATTGTGCTGTAATATCTATTGCTTCTGCTGAACTTGCTATTTAAATATCTTCAGGAAAGGCTTTATCTTACAATTTTGTCCTCTTTAATTTTTCCACAGCGCTGTAGAAAACAGTGGATGATTTGCTTCACCGGTTACATTCCTCTGATTTTATTTGCATATTGAATGCGTAACTCATTAACTGATTGATATCAGTGTGGTCCTGAGGAGTTTCTTTTCTCTTGGCAGTGTCATTGTTTGGCTAGTAACTTTTGAGCACTTTACCCTGATTTCCTCTGGGATTAAGACTAGGTCTTCAATCAGTAGGATCATTCCAACTCAGGATGATGGTCATTTCACAGACAATTAACTGTCCTTTTGTCATGGGTCATTTAAATCATCTGTAATCCTTTGCTTTGATTGTATAACATGATCAAACAAGTCCCACAGGCTTCCTTTTTTTTTTTTTTTTTTTCCATTTTTTCCTAATTTTTATTCCTGATTTATTCGGTTTATTTTTTGTTTGTTTGTTTGTTTTTCTTATCTTTTACTTTGCTTGGTTTATTTTGTTTTGTTCTTTCTGTCATTCTAGATGACTGACCACATCTGTTTGTCTTTTACATGCATTCTACAGAGCAAGAGCAAGTGTTTTCATTAGCAACTGACATTGAATGCCTCATGGAATGAACTCTAAAGAATAAAAATAAAATTTGTGACTGAGGAGCAATAGCACTGTTAAATTTTACAGACAAGTAGCTACAGTAAAAGTTATTTATAATCTGTTTTAATAAGTAATCAATTTAATTATAGTGTTTTACTTAATCACTTCTGCACTGTCAAGTAAGGAACGGCTATTACTGTTTCTAGTTCATAACAGTATCTCTTCTGTTTGTTGGGTCTGAATCAATTTGCCTGCTCCTCTAACAAGCTTTAAACAGGCTCTTAACGTTCCAGCGGTACCCTGATCTGCATCCTGTGAAATAATCTAATTTAAATCAATGGCTCCTTAGGAATGAGATCCTGCTTAATGTGAGTACATGGGATAAGGATCTAGTTCTTAATTTCAAACACTTACTTTCTGGTGGAAAAGAGATCTAGTTTCCTGAAACTAAAGAGATGAAAAGGAACTTTGTTTTTTCTTTCGTTGTATACAGTTTGGAGTAAGAAAAACAAAATGCACAAAAGATTATAAGCAACATAAACAGTGTTAAACGCTAAAAAAGAAAGCATCTGTTTCTTTAGTAGGTTGAACAAAATGTTAGTGTTAGTGAGGGTCCTGCAGCAATTGTATCTGTAATTCCATAAAGCATCAAAGATCCTCCAAACAATCATGGATTAGATATAAATTTCATTATCAGTTGCATCAATAAGTATTACAGAGGTTTTCTTATGCTGCTAGTGGATATCTGATGGAGATTTGTACTCCAGTGCAAATGACCATAAGTGAGCTCACATTTTGTGAAACTCAAAGTCTAGAAGGCAGTGTCTTTACTAATCCAAATTAAATCCTTGCCTGTAGAGAGGCTTTATGAGAAGTGAATGCCTGAGTTGGAGTAGCTTCTGTTCTGAAGATATCCATGAGTCTCTCCATGGGAAAAATGGGAAGACAAGACTGGTGACTGTTAGGTCAGGTACACATTTTTCTGTCCTAAAGTACTCGACCCTCACAAAATATTTTTTTTTCATAATTATTATATTGACAACCGTCAACTTTCTCATTATTATAGTTGTCATAAGTTTCCATGACTGTTTATTGTGGCACAGAACAGCTGGGATTTTTAGTCCTTTCATCTGAAAAGAAATACCCTGAACACAGCTGAATTAAACATTGTAAGAACTTCATCAGTATTGATGGCAGAATTATAGATGATCTTTATTTTATATGTCCTTTTAAATGTATTTCTTGAATTGCATGAAATAATACTCAGAAAACTTTGCTATATGATGTTCCACATGACAATGTGCAATAAGGCAATGCCCAGTCTTTTTAGACATGTAGGTCAATACCCTGGACTAACAAGGATAGCCTAATACGGACCTTGTTGAAAATTATGATGGGAGGAGGGATAGCCTAAGATATAGCATCTCTGATCTGAAATATGACCCTTCAATAAATTTATTCCTAGGAAAAATTTTAATCTTTGCAATTCCAGAATCAATTTTTTTTTTTTTATTTTAGAGTTAATCCTCACAATTTCTATCACTTTTCATGAACATCTGAAATTCAAGTAAAAAGATTATTTTGTTTTATCATGAAAAGGAGTTTATGTGTCTAGGGAGCTGTGTTTTTTTTCTTTTTTTCTTCAATAGATTTTGTTTACTAATTGTACTCAGAAATTTTTCTATTGTAGTGTACATTGCACGTGAGATCCGTAAACCAAAGATGTGACAGTGTACCATCTGACAAGATGGATGGTTTGAATCAGCTACTGTTTTTCTAAAAGACTGAAAATAAACTGTGAGCAGCTGGCAATTTGCTAAATTCAGCTACCAGGAACGATTAAATTTTTACATTATTTTCTTCACGGTTCTATTAAGAGTCATAGATCTTCCAAAATCTGCTAACTCACCTAATGATAACATACAGATAATTCTACACTGCTGTGTATTAGTGCATTATTTAATAAAACATTTATTTTAGCATTTTTTTTTAGTTAAGGGTCTTTTGGGGAGGTTGATGTGAAGATAATTCATAATTTCAATACTAATTAAAAAAAACCTTCATCAATAAACACCTTTTCCAAGGTCAGAAAGTAACGCTGACTTGAATTGTTGAACTGCATTTAGACTTGATTTCTGGCATTATTAATCACACCATCATTCTTCTTATTCTTGTAAAGATAAGAACGTATTATATCTCACTTTTAAAGTTGCCCTTTTGCTATTGTGAAATCAAGAGTGTTGAAAGATTTATAACTCTATACAAAGCTCATATGGTATTACAAAAATATGTTGCATTAGAGATAATTTTTAAACTTTTAAACCTTACACAACATTTTTCTTGACTTTTCATTTAAATGACAAAGGTATTGTTAATTTTTAAATATGTTTAAATTCAGAACATACACTTAACTTCCCTGAGCAGTCAGTTGAAGATATTAATTTTCCCTTGCTTGCACTTTTTAGAGTTTTAGAGACTTCTGGAGAGTAAATTTTAAATCTTTTACATTGGATAATTCTTTTTTGAGAGTTCAAAATTTTCTTTTCATATATTTTGGTGTAGGTAAACCCAATGCAGTTAACATTAATAATGAGTAGAAAAATGAGTGAAGAAAAAGTGAAAAGCTTAAAATAGTAAACATATGGGTTTATTTTCTGTATTGTATTTATTTCTGTATGTATTTACTATTTTGATTCTGATGGGTGATTGAATAGTATGAACAATGCTAAAGTGAAACTCCCTGTCCTGGAGAGAATTGCAAATACGTGAGTAGATAGGTCACCTTTCAAGCACTTTCTATTCTTGTTACTGTCACAGAGATACCAGTAAGAATGGTGATTTTTATTTTCATGTTGGTATCTGTCAGCTATTCAGTGGAGTGAATCTGTTTTTTTCACAGAACTCGTCAAATATCTATCAGATGGTGGTAACTTTTTTTTTTTCCCTGCCAATCTGGACAGCTTTTAAGTGACAACCTGGAACTGGCAGTTGTAAATGTGATTATTTAGGGACAACCTAAGCCAGCTTATTTTTGTGCAAAGAAAAATATTGCAAACCAGAAAACTCTTGGAGAACCCAAAGCATTGATCAATGGCAGTGTATGATGTGAGGCAGTGGCTGAAAACTCCAGCTATCGCAGAGTTACAGAGAATGTTCGTTACCCAACCTCGTGGGAATTCAGATACATGCTGACTTTGGATTTGTGGTTTTTTCCTCTTTTATTTCTGTATTAA